ATTTATTCAACATGTGCAGTGGGCGACCATATATTAGGCTCTTCAGTTCGTCTTGTGTAATCTTGTTGGTGAGGTTAGTTCAGAAAAGAACTGTTGTTGGTGACTGACGTTTGGATAACCTGGTTGGAAGTAATCTTCAGAGTCCAGATGTAGAGGTGGAAGTCAAGATGACTTTTACTTAGGTTGTTGAAACATTCGTCACCATCAACAGTTCTTTTCACATGTACCCTCATCCAGATGATTACGTATATATACGAACTACATGTACTGGTACTTTTGATACTTCAAACCATTTACTATTTTAGGCTGTTTGGTAGGACTTAGCAGCCACTAAGTTTGCTAAGCAAAAAAATAATGTGTGATGCCAATAAAGGACTTAGGAGTCGTTGACTGGAAATATCAAGAATGGCTGGCCAGGTTCGAAAAATCAAAAATCCTGAAACTTTGTCTAAAGAACGCTTTTAGAGAACTACTTTCGAAAACATTATTCCGATTTTCTTAAAATTTAAAAGTCTTCAAGAAATTTGCAAAAAACGAAAATACAGCATTTTGCCTAATTAAATATCCAAAAAATATCTGGAAAATTGACAAAGTTCTTGGTACCCGCATTGAAACAATTTACAAAACTAGAACACCGGATAAACTTAGCATAAGAGCTTTACTTTTCTTCAGTCTAACAATAGGAAGTTTTAAATTTTTCAAGCATTTTGAAGGATTCCATTGACCGTCGAAGAATTTCCTTCTCAAGCCCCCTTGAAAACGGCAAAAATTGCATAGTTTTACAGGCTTAAAACGCATCTTGGTATGTACGATATGGAACTAAAACAAGTACTGTGCAAAAGTGTGTCGTTTCTACTATAATAGTATGGAAAAAAAATTTCTGGGTAATTAATGTTTACACAGGTAAAATGCAAAAGTTCACGGCAGTCTCTTCTCAAATTTGTGTAATACGGCATGTTCATAGAACTCTATTGTTGAGCACTCTAGTCTGTTTTTGTTCCATTTATTGGCCATGCGTTGTGGGAAATATATATATTTTCAGTTAGCTCCAATTGGAATTGCTTGATTATTGAGGTTTAGACTCGTGCTTATAATAGAAACATATCAGGGTTTGTCTTTCCCGTTTATACACACTTGATTAGTCTGCAAATATTCGAAAGGAGACTGGTCTTTTAAAGTAAATTTTAGCGTGTCTCGATCTTTATGGAAAACAAATTAATTAGATGCACTAAATGAAACAGAGGTTTTGTGAGCGTGATCCAGCTACATCAAGGAAGCAAGTTTTCTTGAAAAATAGAGTGAGACTGTTTGAAATCTATCCCGCGATCTGACCTCGGTTGGAATTTGGCCTAATCCAAACGTCGTGCTTCTGCCGTACTGAACTCAGATAAATTTGTCCCAGCAGTGGCAATGACAAGACAACAGTGGTGAGTCCAAATGTCAAATTTAATAAGTCGTGCAAAAGATTGGAAGACTCTTGCCTTGCTGAAGGCCATTTTAAATGCCACAAATATTAGCAACGACAGCTGTTGCAGCAGGCTATGAATTCAGTTCGGCACAGTAAGAGCACGCCGAAGCCAAGTCATGCTACACGGCATGCAAACTTTATTCATCCCCCTGGGCGGGTAGCACGGGGGGGCGGGGGGAGAGACTCACATATAAAAATAACGGGGGTGATCGTCGTGCATTTTAGGGGTTAATCCTCAAAAGGTCCACTGCGAGAGCTTTTGCGATACCTTTTAGGTGATTGAGCCGAAAAACATGACTGGGGATAATGCGTTATGTAAACGGTTGTCAGTTTAACCGTCAATTTTTTGGAAACTATTAAGGCTAAGTAATTGAAGACACCAACAATGACAAAAAAAACACTTAGAAATATATCAAGTAGTCATTCTATGAAGAGACTTTTCAATTTTCGTCAATTATACAAATACGTTCACCTAGCCTCAAAAAACGTTTGTGTTTGCTGGCATGCGTTCTTACTGCCCAGATTTTTTGTTTCAAATACTAATTGAAGAAGACCAAAAGTTGATCAAAGTATTTATTTCAACTCGATATTGGGCAAACTAAAACGTGTCTTAAGCCCGTAACTTACGCAATTTTTGCTGTTTCCATAGGGGCTTAAATTCTTCGCCAGTCGACAGAACCTCTCAAAATTTAATTTAATGGGAATTAAATTCGGCGTGACTACTTATAGCATGGCAGGCCAAATGGCATTCCGCACGGCAGTAGTACGACTTCGCTTCGAACGAATGAGGCAGCTTTGAACCAATTCATAGCCTGCTGCAACAGCTGCCGTTGCTAATATTTGTGGCATTTAAAATGGCCTTCAGCAAAGCAAGCGTCTTCTGATCTTCTACGCGACTGATTAAATTTGACGTTTGGAATCACCGCCGTTGTCTTGTCATTGTCAGTGTTGGGACAAATTTATCTGAGTTCGGCACGGCAGGAGCACGATGTTTAGACTAGGCTGAATTCCAAGTGAGGTCAGATCATGGGATAGACATCAAACAGTCTTACACTATTTTTCAAGAAAACTTGCTTCCTTGGTCTAGCTGGATCATGTTTATAAAACCTCTTCGTTTCAATTAGTACATTTAATTAATTCGTTATCCATCAGATCATTCAGATGAAAAAAAAAAAACTTTAAAAGACCATTCTCGTTTTGAATATTTGCAGACTAAGCGAGGGTGTATAGATGGGAAAGACTAACCCCAATATGTTTCTATTATAAGCCAGTGTCTAAACCTCAATAATGTAGGAATTCCAATTGGAGCTAACTAAAAATATATATTACGTGATGCCAGTCACGCAATACATGTAGTGTGTTTAATCTATGTAACTTTGAACGTATATCTTGGGCTTTTTCTATAGTTTTATGTATCTTGAGTGAAATAATGAAACGATGTTGAAATAACAACATGGATTAACTCTCTTTTTGTATATTTCCCACAAAGCATGGCCAATAAATGGAACAAAATGAGACTAGAGTGCTCAACAATAGAGTTCTATTAAAATACCGTAAGCCTGCAAATAATTTTTGTCTATAGGCAGGTCATTTGTCAGGACAAGGACTAGTTTTGACCTGACAAAAAGCCAGTCTGGTTGTTGTTAGAAATTAAAAAGAGGCATTTGAGACATTTTGATATTTCAGTGTAGACTCTTTGCCAAAATATTGGTTGCAAATTCGAATAGCTTTAAAGTCAACTGAATCTAAAATCGCTACTAGCACCAGCAAGGGGACCTTTACATCACGTTTGGTATTATTTTGAAAAGCGATTTTGAAAAGATTGTAATTGTTTCATCTGTGTTGTACAACCAGGCTGGTCACCCCAGACAATATCTGCATAATCTAGGTGTGGTAGGACAAGGCCATTAAAATATGATGTGAGACTTTTCTGATCCAGCATATGATAGATTTGATTGAAGACTGACAGGTGATGTCCTAATTTTTGTAAGAGGCTATTGACGTGCATCTTCCACTTCCATTTCTCATCCAATAATATGCCTAGATACTTAAAAGATGAAACACAATTTATTTGCCCTTCGTCAGTAGAAAACTGAAAGTCATTAAACGGAGGCAACATTGTCTTGCTACCCGAAAGCATCAATTTAGTCTTCTTCACATTAAGCGTTAATTTGTTGTTGGTGTACCAGGTGGAGTTCACTCTTCGTTACAGCAGCTGACAAGCTGTTAATGTNCCCCAGACAATATCTGCATAATCTAGGTGTGGTAGGACAAGGCCATTAAAATATGATGTGAGACTTTTCTTGATCCAGCATATGATAGATTCGATTGAGAACTGACAGGCGATGTCCTAATTTTTGTAAGAGGCTATTGACGTGCATCTTCCATTTCCATTTCTCATCCAATAATACGCCTAGATACTTAAAAGATGAAACACGATTTATTTGCCCTTCCTCAGTAGAAAACTGAAAGTCATTAAACGGAGACAACATTCTCTTGCTACCCGAAAGCATCAATTTAGTCTTCTTCACATTGAGCGTTAATTTTTTGTTGGTGTACCAGTCGGAGATTAGGGTGAAGTCATGTCGAAGGGTATCATTAAGCTCTTGGGGTGTCGACGCAGCAACTAAAACGTTATCTTAGAAGGAAAAGCTTCTATGCTTGGAAGGAAAAACTAACTATTCCGAAAATAACGACTTTACCTGTGCTATGAATGACTCGAATATTTTGAGTGCATTTAAATTTTTATAACTGAGGGGAAAAAAATCGACCCCGCGAAGATTCGAACCTGAAATCCCCTGATTCGTAGTCAGATGCCTTATCCATTGGGCCACGGGGCCGTGCATGGTACAGTTAATGTTTTTCTTAATTTATTTATATATAATGTTGACAATGTTATCAATTATTTATCCGCTTTGATCACTAAAAAAAAAGAGATTTGCTTATTGCTCTTTGCCTGAGAGCAGTAGCTCAAAACTAAAATGATTTTTTTATTATTATTATTCCGGTTAATGCTTAGAAGGAAAAACTAACTACTGGGACAATAACGACTATATTTGTATTATGAATGACTCGGATATTTTGAGTGTATTTAAATTTTTATACCTGAGGGAAAAAAAATCGACCCCGCCAGGATTCCAACCTGGAATCCCTGATTCGNTAAAATGGTGCGTCAAATGACGATTTTAACAGAATTTAGTAATTTGCATATTTCTTTGAAATAAAAGGATCTTTTGACAAAAAAAAATTTCCGGTAGTTTTTGTCATGCCTTAGCCTATCTACCATAAGAATATGAACGAAATCGAATTTTTGACCCCTGCCGCGAAATTAAGAATTTGTCTGATTTTGACAGGCGGGCACTCTTAACGTGTTCACAAACTGAAACAATGCACAAATCTAATACTACACAACGAAAACTATACATCCTTTAGTGTCTCATTATTTGTCCACAAAATGGGGGAGAGGAGGGGGGGTGCTTATTCGAGGGGGGGCACTTATTTTAAATTTTGGCCAATAGGAGGGGCGCTTATTCGAAGGGGCGCTTATTTGAGTGGGGGCGCTAATTCGAGGATTTATGGTAAAAGTTAAAAATATTGTTTTTTCGACGGTTGACAGTGAACAAATTCAGGCATTTGGCGTTTAACAGCTTATTGTGGATGGCTATTGACAGTTGATAGTAAAGTATTAATACTTATTTTCCTTTTCAATGGCTGACGGGTAACCCTTCCAAAACCCTTCAATAAGGCCTGCTCCTTGTGCTTACTAACAACCTACTGTTAATTAGGCAACATACTTTCCCTATTTTGTTCTTTACACTCAGCAATCAATTTTGAATACCCATTTGAATCACTGATTTCCTTGATCTACTCAAGTAATCTCCACTGCCATTGCCATAAAATAATACATTTTCAAAAAGAAACATCAAGGTGCAATTCTAGCCTTAAAGGCGTCAATCTGACAAAAAGTATGCATTTTGGTTGATTCCCTACCACATTTAGCCATTGCACTCAAAAACTGGCCAAAATATGCAAGGTAATGCAGAAAAAAACATATCATGCTATTATCTATGCAGTTTTACACTCTGGTATAAATTTTCAGCCACATTGGTTAGAAGTGGCAAGTTTTATTTTGATTTGAAGTCGTGTTTGATTTCAACTTCGAAGTAACACTGTACACCATCTATGGATATATTATGATTTAACAACGTGACCAGCTCCCAGTTGTCTTGATAGCTCAGTCGATAGAGCATTCCACCAGTATCACAGAGGTCATGGGTTTAATCGCATTCAAGCTTGATTTTTTTTCCTCAGGCTTTAAGTTCATGACTGCTTAAGTTGTGTGTATAACTGCGATGATTGATCTTGTCTTCACATCATTCTTTCTCCACAGCTCAAATATATGATCCTTCATATATTCACTTGTATTACCATTCTGTTTTCTGAAGTCCAGGCAGCTGCTTAAAATCTGTGAGCTGTATTGAAAACTCATTTGAAGGTGCACTGATTGCCATGTTTATGCAGTGGTCAAGCATAATGGGATCTGGGTCGGGCTTCTAGTGACGCCATCAAAGGACATTGCTGAAATGCTCAAGAGATGTTTGACTGGGTTTTGAGTGCTGTGAAAACATATGGGGTATTTGTGCTTTTATTGAAAATAGACAAGGCTTTTAAGTGAAAGAACTGTATCATCCAGCAATACAATTCAGAGTCTAGCTACGATTAGGACAGCTACAATGTATATATATATTTTTTCATTTCGAAGTGTGGGTCACCAGTTGAGCCTGCCACACTGCAAGTCATGATTGACAATTTGCCAGTCCATTTGGCTTATAAAGGTTAAAACCATGGCTGAAGAGATAACTTACAGCTATTGAAGGGTTATAGAAATGTCAATGAACATGAAAAAATTTGGGGAAAAATTTGTCTTTTTGCTTTGTTATTGCCAACCAACCGTATGTATGCAAAGTCAATGACTGAATTAGTGTGTGCAAACATGAACATTGTGAGTTACGCAAATTTGCATCTTTCGTACGAGTAATTAACAATGACAAGATCTTGACAAAAGGTTCAGTGTGGTGTCAGTTAAATGAATACATTTCTCCTTCGCTGTTCTTTTGTTTTAAAAGTCTTTTTTTACCTGTGCTAATAACCGAGTGTTGCATTTCGGTCGAAAACAAGCACATTCTCCTTTCAGTGCTTCAATCTCCATCCGTAAAGTCCAATCTAAATAGTTTGAATACTTATTAATGCTTGATTCATTTAAAGTTTGTAACTGAGATAGATATATTTCTTTGCTCAAAAAACAAAGCAATACTGCGTATGCTGAAGGACCTTTGAGAAACTCAGCCTGCGGGTTGTTGATTTCATGTGTGTAGCTTGTGTGTGTGGTTGTATATAAAATCCAAAACTACATAGCTAGCTCAGCAGTTCAAAGCCTCACTAACCTTAATCACTTCATTGTAGGACGTACGTGTTGTTGACTATTCCTTAAGAAAAAAAATGTGATGTGATTAATTTGCCGTATATTTAGTTGTACGTATTGGTAAATGCCAACAAGTGAATGAACCATTGTCAATGAGGATAATGGTTGTTTAGCAAGTAATTTATATATACATGTAGATGTACTGAATTGTTGCCAAAGAAAGGACTGATATGGAATGGTTTCCAGTAGAAGTTAATTCATATTTGTTTGAAATGTTTAAAATTTGAGAAATTGTACTTTAGGTGATTTTGAGTAGACTGTTCACAGCCCTCTATTTTCTTGTATTTTTATTCCATCGTTGAACATGCAAATAGAGTCGGGAGATGACTGGATGCCAGCGCAAAACTGAAGACTTGACTTAACTTATTGCTCACTTCGCTTGCAAACCCACCCCCACCCCCACGTGCTTTGTGCTCACTTTGCTCGCTTTTTCTTTCGCGTGTGTCAGTAGGGAGCCTGTGAACAGTCTAATTTTGAGAAAGAAGCTCTATTTCTTATATATGCACAGCACAACTTTCTTGTTGTAGATATTTGTTCAGAAATGCCAAGCAATTCTAAATAATGTTCTCGTTTTGTAGTAGATGAATTCTCTTAGTTTCGGCATACTATATATTAAATCTTGATCTAGACGCACGGGCACGGTTGTTCTAAAAACCAGATACCTGGCAGTCAAAAATTTTAAACCATGAGCTAGTACTTGACTATTATGAATGTTTTAATTTTTAAATTCATATCTATTATAAACACACTTTTTTAAAAAACTGGCCGTTGAATATCGAATAAGCTGCTTTTTAACAAAGATTAGCAAAAAGTTCTGCAAATCTCCGCCATCACTCAGTACCTATCAACAATGTCATGCAACCTGTGGCAAACTTTCGTCGTGTTCAGTGTGCTTCCATGCTGAGTCCAAGTGAACAATTCAATGTAGAGGCCTGATAAGTTTGGAAATCCCATGGTATTTCTACACAGAGGTCAAGCATTCTCAGCAGGTTTGAATGGAAATTATGGTGGAAAAATGGAAATAATTTCTGACTGCCGGGTAAATAGTTTTTTGAAAAACGATGCCCATGAGTCACACAAAGCTCAGACAATTTGTGACTTGCAAACCCAAAAACATTGTATAAAATTGCTTGGTGTTTCTGACCAAAGGTCAAGATACTCAAATACTCTTGGGAGGTTTCAGTTGATACTAACAATTATAATTTTTTTCTAGAATTGATTATCTATGAATTTTTGACTACCAGGTATCTAGTTTTTTGAACAACCATGCCCTTGACTGTGAATCAAGATTTTTATAGTATACCAAGGCTAAGAGAATTCGTCCACTACAAAACCAAAACATTATTTAGAATTGCTTGGCATTTCTGAACAAATATCAAGACTTGATATTTTCAAAAATCACAATCAAAACCAGCTTTAAGAGTACTTAGTACTCTCAGAGCCGGTTTCAATTGTGATTTTTGAAGGTATTATTCTATAAGAGCTCTGGAGCCAGAGCACGCAAATTTTCTGTGTCGAAGCCTCGAGATTTTATGGTGTACCCAAACTCGTAAAAAGCTACCACAGACCAACACCATATATTATATGTATATAATTTGATTTTTGGACACCCTCATATTTGTTACTCTTAAGAACTGTATAATTTGCCTTTGACAGAAATGTTAGGGGGACTGAAAGCCAGCTTTTGCCCTTTTTCAACTGCACCAACATTTCAAATCCAAAGAGCATATTGCAAATTAGCCCTTACATGAATGAGCTGGCTCCAAGAGCCCTTTGATTACAGAAGTAATGAACCTGGGATCGGAGAACTGCTTGATGGCTCCCTCTTTCGGTCCGACTTTGCACAAGTCAGCACACTCTCTTTTGTCTTTTTCTCGTTTCGGGATGAGTGCCATCGAGACAGAGGTATTGAAGGAAGAGGATAGCTCTCTCCTAAGCTTGCTGTACTGCTACTCTCTTGAACAACACATCTACCTTGCATATTTCTGCAACAATTTTGAATCAAGCTATCACATGTTTGCATATATTCTTCTCAGAAGCAAAACATTGTTAGTCCTTCAATGACATCACAGGCCAACTCACCCCATTCATTGCTATTGTTTGGTTGTGGCCATGAAAGCAAAATTGGGGAGTTAATTGCACTTTAACTCATTTATGTCTTCCTGCATGAATTGAAGGGATTCTGTCATGCTCTGTTTTTCTTCTTTGAGTTTTGCAACTCTTGCTTTAAGGTGGTTGAACTCGCTAAGTATGAGGAGGACTTTGTCCAATTTCTCTTCGACAAGTTTGAGTTTCTCGAAGCACAGCTTGACGACGTCTTGTTGTTGTTCTTCATTTTTAAGCAGGAATAGGTGGGGCACACAAAGGCACATCTGCCATCTTCACTTTGTCCCAGGCTAGGTCATGTGGTTTTTGAAGTTGACCGCTGCCCAGGTTTTTGATTGGATTGCAGGCTCGAGCCAAATCAGGAGTTCTTTTTTAGGCTTGGCTAAATCTATATATTATGCTTATGCTCAGTATTTGGCATTGTCTTTGAATACATGGCATCAAGTTCTCACAAAAAGCAGCATTGTGCTAACTAATTTTGTTGTTTAATTCCGCAATCCCCGGGCTGTCTAAAAACTCATTTAGTTGGGATCTGGAGGTATGGATTGAGTAGCATTTTCTTCTGTCAGTTAACTCCCAAATTACAGTGCATTGATTAATTAGAATTTCTTGTTATGAACCTTTGAACAGTGTCAACAGTGCTTTAGTTTCCTAATAAATTATCTATACTTCATGGGCTTTCTACTTGCCCTGCCTCCCCAGATTTGCCAGGAAATCATTCATGTGTAATGCATGTACAATCTTTATATGCAAAATATATTTCTTAGTGAATGAATGTGTCTGTGCAGTATTAATTTTGTCTTCTTGTTTTGTTAGGTACCCCTTTCATGGTGAGACTTCATGAGCAGTTAAAGTTCTTTGTCAACTGTAAGATTTCTACTGACCCTGCTTGGCAAGGGCTGAGAATATATCTGTCTGGACATGAGGTATGTGACCTCAGATTCTTATTTCCACAGCTTCAATTCAGGTTAAATTTACTTGAAAGATCAACATTTAACAACTTAATTACAGTTAAAACCTCCCCTGAACAACCACCTAAAATGTCAAGCCTTGGTGGTCATGTGTGGGAAGTGGTCGCTTACGAGAGCTTAGATCATATTGGGTCAAAATTTTGCCTCATCAGCATATGGTAACTGCAGAGACCTACCCCATGTTTTCAAAGTTTTATTCATATGAAAAGTCAATTTTGAGAAAAAAAATCTGGTACTTCCCATTGAGAAACTTCTGTCTCTTGTACCTTCCAGGAATGTGATAAGGTTACAACAACTTACAATTTCTGCTCTATTATCTGTCAAATGGTCGCTTACCAGAGGTTAAAAACAGTAGAAAATTTCAAACTTTTAGCTCTTAACGTGGTTACGGTCGCTTACGAGAGGTGGTCGCTTACAAGAGGTTCCAAACATAGTGATCTGATCTGAAAACTTTTGGTAGTTTGGAAAACTGGTCACTGAGGAGAAGTGGTCGCAACTGGAGGTTCAACTGTACTTGATTCTGATTAGCTAAGAGCACTGCAAAATTGTAACAACTGTGTAAATTTCACCAAAGATATTCAAAGTTATTATGAAAACACTCAACGACTACCAACAGTCATCTGCGGTATTTCTAAGCGGGTCAAACTTCATCTGAAGCCTTCCAAAGATTTCTGACGATAATTAGGCATTTTCCAAGCAGTTCCAGAGATCATCCAAACCCTTCCAAAGATTAATGATTATCACCCAAACAGTTACAAACACCTCTGATTATGATCCATGAAATATTTTTGCCTGCGTGCAATTGGTCTAAACACGTCGTGTGACTGAGTAAATTACCTCAACTAAAACTGGGGAATAACAGTTCCACACTTTTCAAAGCTGTGTGTGTAGTTAAAAATATTTAAGGAATAAACACAATAGCCTCCATTTGGCATGAAAATAAGCTTGGATGAGAGTAATTAAAGGAATAAAAGGAATAGATGGTAAAACCTTTGTCTCTTGTTATCCTCTCTTTATTCGTGAGCATGTCCTGCAAAACACTGTAGGGCTAAACTCGTACCTACAATCATGGACAAAAGCAGTTGACACACTTTTCATTGTTGTAGCCATGTGACAGTGTCCACGGAGCGTATTTCAACTTTGAAAAAGGGGAGGGGGGGGTTGGCTATCGACAAAAAAAATGCTTTTTGAAATTAGTAAGGACGCTGATAGAAAGCATTTGTTTTGCTCAAATGTGTCAACACTTTTGTCCATGATTGTGGGCCTTGTTGCGCTGTGCAAAACTTTTTCTGGTTTACATATAATGTTGATAAAGGAGGCAACTCTTTACCCAAACATTTTGAATGCAATCTGATCATTTGCTCAAATCTCTAAATTTTGGTAGCTTCCATGAAACCAAACAAACACAAAACAAAGTCAAAAGATTTTTTTGCAACTTGGCCAAATTTGTTTTTGAGTACTTTCATGACAGTCGGGGAATTTTAGCCTCTTTTGCAGAGTTTTTTCTCAAATCGCTTTTCGCAACATGATCGTACCATTATCCCGTTACCAAATGCATCATGCAGCACGTGCTTGCGCTTTCTTGCCTTTTCCACAAGTTTTTTTTGACACCATAAAATTTTTTGCACAGAACGAAAAGGCCCTGGTACGAGTTTATATTAGATCTATAGTGTTTTGTAGGACATGTTTGGGTATAAAGAGATGATAACAGGAGACAAAGGTTTTGCCAACTAACTTACTCTTTTAACTACCCTAATCCTACTCAACAAAATTGTGTGCTCCCTGTGGTTCAATAAAGTATGCACATGTATCTATGTATATGTGACTTGTACAAGAAGCCAGCGAGTCATTTCTAGTGTAGGACTACAGTCAAACCTTCGGTAGGCAACCACCCAAAATGTCCAACCTACATGTAGGTGGTTGTTTACAAGAGCTTAGACAATTTGGATCAAAATTTTGCCTCATTAGCATATGGCAACTGCAAAGACTTACCCCAAGTTTTAATTGTTTTATTCATGTGAGAAGTCAATTTTGAGAACAAGTCTGGTACTTCCCATGGAGAAATTTCCTTCTCTTGTACTATCCAAGAACACGATAATGTTACAATAACTTATTGTCCAATTTTGACTCTATTATCTGTCAAGTGGTTGGTTAGGGGAGGCTAAAGACAAAAGGAAATGTTAAATTTTTAGCTCCAAAAGTGGTTGCAGTCACCTACGAGAGGTGATTGCTTCCAAGAGGTTCCAAATATAGTGATTTGACTCAGAAACTTTAGGCATTTTGGAAAACTGGTCGCTTATAAGAGGTGGTGGCTTATAAGAAGTGGTTGTAGCCAGAGATTCAATTGTCTGTCTGTCTGGTGGTTGTTCTGTCAGTCTGTATGTATGTAAGGCCTAGTTATTCACAGGGTTTTAATCCAGTGAATCTATACTAATGCTTTCCTCGTGCAACAGTTCATGCTACTTTTGCATTTCTATCTAAAGAGGTTTGGAAATTCATGCCTTCAGGGTGTGCAGTCACACACACAGTATAGCAAGCCTGCAAATAACAGTCGGTCATCAGACAATTGTCCGGTAAATTTGAGGTTTTGACAGGTAAAAGCTTAGCCTGGTCGGACACTCTGACCGGGCATTTCTACTAAAGTGAAAAATATATTCACTGAAAATCTGTGGCTGAATATAGAACAAGTTATTTTGTTATACTGCCACACAATGCTACGCAAAAAAGCTTTGTTATCGGTTTTGTTTTTATTCCAATTCTGAGAATTTTATGCGCAGTGCGTCGTCTCAAATGTTATGTCAAATTGTAAACACATCACATCAGCACCACTATTCCTACGTGTTAATTTACGCATTTTGCGGTGGTGTTGTGAAAGATTGTGAAGCCCCACTTAGTCTGAATTATGTTTGTCTGAAAAACTACTAAAAACTGAGGTCTTATGTTATTACTTGTTGTTTGTTACCACCAAGTGTTGTGGAATTAATTTCCAGTTGTAATACATTGACCCGATGAAAATATTATGGAAATTGAATACACGGCCTAAATACTCACGTTTCGTTTATCTGAATGCAATCGCTTTCAAAAACTTTAAAACCTCTAAAACATAACCAAATATTTTACTAGTCCGTATTATCAAAAATCAGTTTAATTTTTAATTCTGTATAGTTTTTTTACATCTGTCAGTGTGGTTGAAATATAGATTCCATACCACAGACATGTTTTTTGAAAAGCGTGAATGTACAAATTAGGCATGCTTTATAGTCACGAACACCTCCAATTCCACATTTTAAATAATGATGCAAATTTTTTATTCAATTGACCCTGAAAACTTTCAGAGGAAACTTGCTTTCAGAAAAAGTCGAAGAGTTCATTTTGGCCAATTTTCAAGTCTCTGAATGTTATTGGGAGGTTCTATACTGACAAGCTGTCCATGCAAGAGATTGTTTCATCACTTTTCCCATTTTCCTTAGATGTCATGGGAAATGTTGGAAACGCTTGTGTGACTTTTTAAGAATGGCTGACTGTTAGGATCGAGAAACGCCGGTCAACGTCCCATTTGACAAATTGCTCATATTTTGCCCAAAGATACCCTTAAGTGACCTAATTCTAAAAATCATATTTAAAGGTTCCAGCGAATTTTTATTTTTCAGAAATTCGCGAAAATTTGAAAGAGCAGTCAAAGTGCGGTTTTCCATGTAATAAAATGACCGAAATAAGGTGTGAGGACGAAGCGCTGCTTAAGCCTTAAAATAAACTCAATTGACTTCAAACTTCACACAAATGTGAACAACCACTCTAATTTATTCCTCGCTTTAAACTAATCTCAGATATGTTGATATAGTGGTTTTCCGAACCATTTTAAAAACAGCTATGAAGCGTGTGA